TTTTTTTTTTTTTTTTTTTACAGTCGGTCAGCGGATAGATGCCGTTACATCCCGGCGCGTGTCCCGACTCATGTGGCGTTGGGTTCGCTGTTGCTGCCGCGCCGCGGAATGGCCAATGGAGTCCGAGTCAGAGAGAGAAGATTCAGTCTAGCCTGGGCGACTTCCATGCGGCAAACCGCCAGAGATATGAGCTCTCCCCCCCACGAAAGAGGAGAGGAAGAGAGAGAAACAGAGAGAGAGAGAGAGAGTGAGGATAAACCAGATGGGAGAAATGCTGAACAGTTGAGAGCTGTAGGGAGACGGGAGGAGTGAAGCAAGGAAGGTTGCTGTATATTATTTCAATGACTGACGTACCAGTGTGTGTGTTTGTGTGTGTGTGTGTGTGCGCGCGCGCGCGTGTGTGTAAAGGAGAGAGAGAGAGAGAGAGAGACAGAGAGAGTGGGAGGGGGAGCGCTCTAATCAAGTAGATGAATCGACAATGCTGCTTTGCCACTGAAGTCAAGAGAGATTTAAATGCAGAGACTGTTGGGAGAGGGTTGCAGAAAGTCTACCTGCTCGTTTTAAAGCCCGTGCGCGTAAATTAGAAAAATAAAATAAAATAAAATAAAACACAATAAATTAACAGTATTTATCGCAAACACACCGTTCACGAAAGGTTAAAGGTTTGGCTCGCGCGTCACTGCGCGATTTCGTGGAAACACGAAAGCAAAAAAGTAGATTTTTGGTCACGTATTTATGAAACAGCAAAACTTTTCTTATTAATTTTTCATCCTGCCATCATTGTCCTGATCCCCCCGCTGCTGCGTAATAAAGTGTCGCCGCCTGCCGACCGTCAGGTTCCCTATACGTTACCTTTAGCACCTATTGAATATTGTGCGTGCAGGGAGAGAAACATGTTTGGGCTTTAAGAGTGACGAACAAATAAGACCAATAGGGGGAATAATAATAATAGTAGTAGGAGCGGGGAATGACTCGCAGGAAAGAGGTGTGTGTGTGCGTGTGTGTGGAGGTAAATGCTGACAAAGGAGACAGAAGATATACATCGCGTGGGGAGAGCAGGTGTGGTGAGGCGGGGCGGGGCGGGCAAGGAGGAAGCAGAATGAATATCAAGAGAGGGAGCTGGAGAGTGGAAAATGTGAAGGAAGGATACACCGATAGGGAACGGTCCATTTAAAATAAACATTTTCTAGAAGAAAATATTGTCAGATTGAGGTTACTTACATATTTTATACTTCACTTTGACCAGATCTTTTGTCATTGCTTACATTCTTTAGGAATAAATTAAGGCATGCTATTGCTCATAGGCCATCCAGATCTTGTTTGGTTTTCCAAAGCATTTTGACAACATTTTAACATGTTAACAAGAAAACATTCAAAATAACTTCATGTGTGACTTTTTTTTATTTATTCCATTCTTCAAATTTGTGGTTTTAATTGAACTTTAGTTTGTAGTAGTGATTAGTTTTACTAAATTTAAAGCTGGGCACTGCGGTGAATCACCTCTGCAGAACATATTCTGAATACTACTCAAATCAAGGATTTGTCAGTCATTTCAAATGTTTCCTAATTTTTCTGCAGTACTGTTTTGAAAGTTAACCTAAAATACTTTGCACTTTTACTTATTTATTTTGCAAAAAATTGTCTCAAGTACCAGATGGTTTACCTAAAACAAATCCACATGCACACAGATATAGAGTGGGGTTGGGGTATCTCAGGTGCACGTCCTGCTACTGCATGACCCAAGCTTTGGAGGGTATTGAACCCATTTAAATTGATGTGTTAAGAACATTTCAAATATGTTTTC